TGCTGGTTTATGCTGGTCTTTTGCTGGTTTATGCTGGTCCTTTGCTGGTTTATGCTGGTCTTTTGCTGGTTTATGCTGGTCCTTTGCTGGTTTATGCTGGTCCTTTTGCTGGTTTATGCTGGTCCTTTGCTGGTTTATGCTGGTCCTTTGCTGGTTTAAGCTGGTCCTTTGCTGGTTTATGCTGGTCCTTTGCTGGTTTAAGCTGGTCCTTTGCTGGTTTAAGCTGGTCCTTTGCTGGTTTAAGCTGGTCATTTGCTGGTTTATGCTGGTCCTTTGCTGGTTTATGCTGGTCCTTTTGCTGGTTTATGCTGATCATGTGCTGGCAAAGGACCAGCATAAACCAGCAAAAGGTCCAGCATAATATCCAACAAAATATTAGCATATACAGCATACTATGCAGAATACTCTGTATAATGCTTGCTATTTAAAAATAGAATAATAATAAAAAGGAGCATATGTAGACCTTAATCAGGTTAGACACCATACTGAATTGAACATGGATGAAAGCAAAGCTGTGCTGTGCTGTGATGTGATGTAAGTAAGAGATAACTAAATAATAAGAGTATTATGTGATTCCATTCCAAACGTAACGAACTGACTGCTGCCTTTTGATAATGTCTGTGTTTCTGTCCAAGTACAAACCTCTGAGTTTAGAGGTATAGCTTTGTCTTTTTACAGCTGGATACTGCTTTTTAAAAAGGTGTTACACCACCCTTGAGAACAGGAGGCCTGACTGTGTATCAGCTGAGCTCAGACACACCGCATTTCTCTCGGCTTGAGTGACAAGGACAGTTTTATAGCATCGCACGTGCTGTTTACAATCAGAATAAATCCGATTATCACATGCAGACATTGGATACAACGATCCAAGAGACTCGTTAAAGGTCACAGTGTTCAGCAGAACATAATGTCACCCTGTCCAAGAGCTTTTAGCTGTTTAATTAAGAAACTAATGAGCTGGAACTAACATGCATTTACCAGCAGTCCAGCATTAACGTCACTGAGAGATAAGGAGAGAGGAACGCTTCGTTTCGTCTCCTCTTTTATCAAAATATGAAATGCTTCTCTGATAAATCTAAAGCAGACATCTGCCAATAAATAAAAGTGCTCTAATATTGGAAGTGAGAGTGGCTGTTTTATTATGGTAGTATTTCATCTGTCACATTGTGGTAATGATGATACACATTATAACCATCTCATAAAACTACTATAAATCAGCATAGACCCTTGCATTCACGCTTCTGCCGGATAGCTTTTTTACCAAGGCCATTTACGTCGATTTATTCAACTAAGTAGGATGCTGCTTGCATGTTAATTTCATTCATTACTTTTTTCATATTCATACAGTAAGTCTTCTAGGCTGCATTTTCAACAAACACGCAGCGTGTTTTGAAGTGCATGAATGACCAGCAGGTGGCGCGCCATACTCTATTTTTATGGCCTTTTCACACATTTGCGTTTGAGAGCAGAGAATAATGTTTTTTGTTTGTTTGTTTTTCAAGATTTTGATAACTTGTTTTATTTACTTGGCGTTTTATTTATTTTCTTTTCCATTCAAATTTGGCTGGGTGGTTAATAACATATTTTTCTGGGGTGTGACAAACTCAGAACACATTTAATATTGTTTTACACCGGGGGTGTCCAAACTCGGTCCTGGAGGGCCGGTGTCCTGTAGAGTTTTGCTCCAACTTGCCTCAACACACCTGCCTGGAAGTTTCTAGTATGCCTAGTAAGACCTTGATTAGCTGGTTCAGGTGTGTTTGATAAGGGTTGGAGCTAAACTCTGCAGGACACCGGCCCTCCAGGACCGAGTTTGGGCACCCCTGTTTTACACGGACTTTAAAGTGACAAGCTGCACCTAAGTGAACTTAAGGGAAACCCTTGAAATAAAATCACCTTAAGACCAATGTGAAATAATGAGTGAGATTTCAGTAGCCTATTGGGAATTCGTTGTTTTTTCCGTTTTCACTGTATTTACAGTAATTTGTAAACCCATGGCTGTGAATCACAGTGTTGACACGCAAACATATCCACAGTCACTGCATGCTGGAGTTGATTACACTCATCACAACTGCAGTGTCTTGTTTAAGCTGCATCACCTCCATTATAGTGCAATTATGTTATCATCAAGATAAGACAACCGTTGCTCAAACATAAGTCAAGATAAATGGTTCAGTACACTGTCAGAGATTTTTTAATAATTTTATGTTATACTACCAGCTCAGATTCTTACATGACACTGAAGCATTTTTACAGGCAGGAAATTCACATGATCACGTTCCAAGCAGATTTCCAAAAAATGTTCACCATCCAGCAATCTGTCACACAAGTATGGAGTGATCTACTTAAAAGCTCTTGGTATTACTTGGTATAACTAGCTGTTATATTGGTATTCTTTATATTAAATTATATAAAAAGTGTGTTCATAAGTGCCAACATTTGGCACCCGCACTGATAGATGATCTAGGTGGAAGTGTGTGTAACATAAACTAATGCAAATGTCCACTGCCTTAGATATTATCAGAAACATTTTCGACAGTGTATGTACTTTTATTTTATTTTTTTTGGACCAAAGAGCACCCAACAACTAAAATGTATCCGGAAGTGTCCGGCAGCGCCTCCAGTGGCGGAAGTGTGTCAGCGCATGCGCCGTGCGGCGAGCAGACCCGAGGGGGCGCAAAAGCTGCAGCATGCAGGTACCTATTATCAATACTCCTGCTTTTACACGGAGTTTGTGTTAACAGTATCCATTGTAATAGATATCTTATGTCAGTTTATTACGCTGGCTTTGTATTAAGAGTGCTGCATTCTGCTGTCATGTTAAGCTGCATGTCTATGAGCAAATACTGTATGCATGCTGTTAAGGCGGATATATTAATATTTTCAACTGAAACACGAGCCTCTTGGTCTTACAGTTCAACTCTCGTGAACACCAAGAATGAACTCGTGGGACAGCTTACTACTGGGCTGCTGTTTTGGTTAGGCATGGGGTTGTTGACTAGCGGTAACAAAATACTGAGCCTGTTTTTGTAAACATGCCAGTCGCTGGAACTTCCTGTACTGTACAGACTCTCGGTTTCTTTAGATATCCTTCGATGGAAACCTCGGCGAAAATACCAATCTCACTAGTATGGCGTCGGCTGAGCTCATGAATATTAACAAAGGCCATGCTGACGTTGCGCGGTAGTTCTTCTGGAGCATCCAATCACATGCTCTAATTAATATTCATAAGCCGAGGCCTACCTTTTAGCGTCAGTCTTTCAGCCAATTAGGAGGGACTGGTGGGCTCACATCACTCGAGCTAATGAATATTATATTAAAAGCCATCACTGAATTTGGCAGAGGCCCGGCCGGATGTCATCCATCAATCCCACGTGAACAACCTCACAAAACCAAACCAGCTCTGGGGGCTGAATGTTGTAATAAATAAACATGTCATTATCGGCTTTAAACAATTCATTTAATAGCTTTGGAGCATTGTGTAATATAGAGGGCAGCGCCAGTTTTATCTGTCTAATGACGCATGTTTCTAAAAAGGCGAAAGTTCAAGTCTGATCATTAGGCCTAATTGTGTGTTTTATTGTGAACGGGGTCGTGACAGTAAGGAGCCAGAGCTCCTCAGTTTTGAGACCACAGAGGACAGTTTGCGAGCTCACTTTGAGCAATGGGGCAAACTCACTGACTGTGTGGTGAGAGACCATCAGATCACATTCAAGTTTTGCTTTATAACTAATTGTATTCACTTTGCTATGTGTCAGGAACAGACAGCTAGAAGCCATCCTTAATAATAATAATAATAATTAATAAATGTCGATACAGTACAGAAAGTATCAGAGTATTGTGTGAAGCATCTTGGAGTGCCATGTAAATACCATGGTGTATGAATATGTAATGCTATTGCCAAGTGTTAAGAAGGAATAATTAACAACGAACCATTGAACTATTGAAAATCAGTGCAATCGCAGCCATGCTGATATTCAGTCTTGTGGCCACATACAACCCTCTTGCTCCTGTGATATTGCTTAAAGAAATAATTCACCCTAAAATGAAAATTTGCTGAAAATGTACCCTCGCTCAGGCCATCCAAGATCTAGATGAGTTTGTTTCTTCATCAGAACAGATTTGGAGAAATGTAGCATTACATCTCTTGTTCACCAGTGGATGCTCTGCAGTGAATGGGTGCCGTCAGAATGAGAGTCCAAACAGCTGATAAAAACATCACAATAATCCACACCACTCCAGTCCATTAATTAATATCTGGTGAAGAGAAAAGCGATGCACGATGCAAATCGTTGCAAAGCAGCTTTACAGAAAATTCAAGTTTCTACATTATATTTAGTAATAGCTAGCTTATCAGCTTATCAATCCATCATAAAGGCATTTTAATTGAAAACCGTTAGTTCTGGCCAAAACATGATTCCAAATTCCATAATAACGCTTCCTCCACTGAAAGAGGCCATCCCTCTGTTGTCCTCTCACATCGAAATCCACCAACATATCTGATTTGGACTCCTTTTGCTTGTAAACGGTGCTTAAACTGTGCATTTTTCTCTCCTGATTAAACAAGGGTTTGAAGTTAAAAACGTCTTGATGGATTTGTTTCTTACAAACACTCATCTATTCGCTTCACAAGACATTAACTGATGGACTGGGAGTGGTGTGGATTACTTGTGGATTATTGTGATGTTTTTATCAGCTGTTTGGACTCTCATTCTGACGGCACCCATTCACTGCAGAGCATCCATTGGCGAGCAAGAGATGTGACGCAAAATTTCTCCAAATCTGATGAAGAAACAAACTCATCTACATCTTGGATGGTCTCAGGATGAGCAAATTTTCATCAATTTTATTTTTGGGTGAACTGTACCTTAATTATCCCCTCTGGACGTCTGTAAGTCAGCCAATCTGAATCAATCAGCCAAACAGTCCTGTGGCGTAAGAGTTGTTAATGCATATAGAAATAACAGCAATTAAACACTTTGGTTGATGATACTATCAAAGATTATCTTTCCTCAGGTAATGAGAGATCCAGCTAACAAACGCTCTCGAGGTTTCGGCTTTGTGACGTATTCCTGTGTAGCGGAGGTTGATGCTGCTATGGCAGCGCGGCCACACAAAGTGGACGGTCGTGTCGTTGAGCCCAGACGGGCCGTTTCCAGAGAGGTGCAGTTACATACATTTAAACCAGAAAGCTCCTTAATGGGTAGTTGACATGTACAAAAACTAGTAGTGACTGAAGTGTCCTGGAGTGTGCTTTATCTAAAAACTTTCGTAATAGCATTTTGTAATTCTTTTATAATTATTATATGTGCAGTTTTTAAGTATTTTATGTTTTATATATCAAGTGAGAGAATACTTGTACTAGTTTAAATTCAGATATCACACTCCAGGATGGTTTGAAAAAATTAAAAAAAAGGAAAAAACTAGTGCTGGGCGGTATGACCAAAAATTTATATCACGGTATTTTTCAAAATTATACCGGTTTCACGGTACATGACGGTATTTTTTTTTTCATGCATGACCTGCCCAACTATAGGCTAGAGCAGTGGTTCCCAACCCTGGTCCTGGAGGCACCCCAACACTGCATGTTCTGCATGTCTCCTTAATCAAACACACCTGATTCAGATCATCAGCTCATTAGTAGAGACTCCCAAGACCTGAAATTGGTGCGTCAGAGAAAGGAGACATGCAAAATGTGCAGTGTTGGGGTGCCTCCAGGACCAGGGTTGGGAACCACTGTGTTAACCCATCGCAATCAATCAATCAATCACTCATATTTCATGAAGCTCAGACTGAAATTATTAGCGTTGAAGTACATGTTTATGCTTGTGTCTCTGGTGGTGGGTGGAAACTATGGTGGGGGTCCTGGCTGTGGAGGTGGACGTGGAGGATACGGTGGAGGTCCTGGATATGGTAACCAAGGTGGAGGGGGCTTTGGAGGATATGACAACTACAACGATAGAGGAAATTTTGGAGGTACAATATCATTTAAGCAAAGACAAATTGAGCGGAGGTTGGAGGGCGGGGTTTAAAACAAGAGGGCTCAGTGATGTCATCCAAAAAGGAAGTTGTTTCAGAGGCGGAGCAAGTTTTTATTAAAGATGGAGACAAATCTTTTTTTTTTTCTTCTAGTAACATGGGGCAATGAATCATTAAATTGAATCTTTACTTTGTTGATTTTTGGAATTTGGAGAATACATTTTTTTATGTTTTAGAAAGAAGTCTCTTATGCTCACCAAGGGTGCAATTATTTAATCAAAAATAGTGAAATATTATTACAATTTAAATAACTGTTTTCTATTTGAATATATTTTGTAATGTAATTTATCTCTGTGATCAAAGCTGAATTTTCAGCATCATTACTCCAGTCTTCAGTGTCACATGATCTTCAGAAATCATTCTTGTTACGCTGATTTGACAATTTCTTATCATCAATGTTGAAAACAGTTCAGCTTCTTAATGTTTTTGTGGAAACCATGATACATTTATTTTTAGGATTTTTTGATGAATAGAAAGT